AAAAAAGTGTGCGGAGCTGCGTTTTTTAACGTTATGCTAAAAGTATCTTAGTTTGTATAGAAAATACGTGTCGTACAACAACGCGTCTCCGCGTGGGAGTGCGGGGCGCATGGTCCGTTGCGAGGCAGTGTGATAATCGCCTTAATCTTAAAACCGCTGCGCTGCCTTGTAAATTCGGCTAGACACTGTGCTGACACGATCACAATCTTGTGTCCTTAGTACTGTCTGCTTTAACTGTTTATGTCGTATGTACGAAAATCGTTGAAATATACAATTCATACAATTCGTCATTTCGTTTCGCGCACCCCTCCTCGCCGATCCCGCTACAACTTTTCTTTATATTTATTATAAAAAAAAACATCTGTCAATAAGTGCGTAAGTAACGTGGACTAAGATATTTCTTGTACCAAGTCACAGAAATATTTTTCATGTCTTTCTAATTAAGGTATTTGTGATTTCAGAACGTAACGAATGCCGTCCACACAGAACCGACGATGCCTACCTGCTAAGATTCTTACGAGCCCGGAAATTCGTAGTGCGCTCGGCGCATAGACTGGTAAACAACTTTTATTTACTCTAATAAAGTATACGGCAATTATATTATCTTTAAATAGGTACAGAAAGCAAATAGTCCATTGTTAGGAGCAAATGTCCTTGCGCATGTTGAACTTCTTAAGAGCCGATGCTACGTCTCGAATTTTTTCGCGTTCTGAATCGATTCGAGTACGCGGGTTGATCGTCACGTTAAAGCCATTTTAATATATATCGTATGCTATACGTGTTTTCTTTTTAGTTCAATTGATATTAAAAAAAATCATTGGTATATGTAAAGTATCTATTGAATACTTTTCATATACGTCTACCTTATACACGTTACGTTACATATACGTTGCCATTTTACAAGAAAACGTTGTTACGTTTTCTTGTAAAATGGCAATCCATGTCAGATATCAATATAGATGCCAATTAACTTACAGCTTTTTTCTTAATGTTTCGATCTTTTATGTTATAATAACTAAAATATTTTTTAAGTTTAAATAAATCGTATATAATCGTTTTTTTTTCAAATAAACCTTCGTTTCGGGTTCTCTACAGATCCCAGGGTCACGGCTCACTTCCACTGTATCCGGCTGTCTACTATACATAGTACATTTCAAGCTACGTTTTATGATTTAAAAAAATATACAAATAAAAAGCAATAATTTACTCAGATATCTTAGTCATTAAAAAGTCGTTAACAAACTATATTCTAACACGACGTCTTTAAAGTTTTAACCTTTGTAGGTGACAGATAAGATGAGTAATTTAGTTAACATATTGTCATTAAAAACCTTTAACACAAAGCAAAAACAAGCCTGGTGTAAAAAATATCGTATTTCCGCACAGATGGCTTCTCCGCTATAATGCTAAAGAAAACCGTCTATCTTTTTTGCCGTATGCGCAATAACATCTTTGTAAACTCATGTTACAAACATCTCGTGGACCTTTGTTATGTTACCTGGTAAAAAGGCGCCTATGCGTAATTTAAATAAGTAGTACTATGAGTAAGTTCAGTAGCTTCCGAAATAAAGCATATATTATTATTATTTACAGCTAGTTCGTAACTGCACTTTCAAAGAAAAATACCCGTCGCTCTATAACGGGGTGGATTTATGGGGGATGAAGAAAGTGGGCGGTGCTTATGAGGGTACCTTGCTCGATCGACCGGATGTAGGAAGACTCTCTATATTAAGATTTGGTAAGTACGAAACGTAACTGTGAATACATTATACAATCAAACTATAGTTACATCGATACACAATGTGTATTTAGAATCGGTGAACGGGGACACGGAATTTTGACCTTTTTTTTAATATATAATAGACACGCTTGGCCACAATTTCACCTGATGTCAAGATACGACGATTTGCCTATTCACTCTTGGCTTGAATAGCCTCAAATTGTACTTTTCGGGAAATACAGATTATAGCATTCCATTCCTTTGCCGTAGGGGAGAGTGGGGGAATTACGGACAGTGAAGGAAATCTCCCAATAATTCAGAAAGTTACTTTAATCATCAGTCTTTATTTATTTATTATTAAACTTTAGATACATATTTAAGAGATCGACATTATTAATTATGAGTAATAAATCAACATACATATAATTTTTCAAAAAAACAATACCCTTCCTGTCCGCAATTACCCAGTGCACACGGGGTAAATTCGGACAATAGGCGGGGTATTTGCGGACAAATCAGGGAAAATATAGACAAACTACTTATAGGAACAAAAATCACAGATGTAGCCATTAGAGTTACTTCCACCTGTACAATTCTCATGCGCTATATTATCCAATCTTCTACGGGGGGTGAAAAGTATTTCTCAGAACAAAACAAACAGAAATATTCTTCTTCTTTGTCAACTTCTTTAAATTCTTTAAGATTCTTTACCCCTTTCTTAACATTTATTTTTTGTGTTTCAGTCTTAATTCTTTTATTTCCTATCATTGGATTATCTTTTTCAAACATTCTTTTATTTTGAATTTTCTTTTCTTGCTTCTTTACCAACTCTTGTTTTTCTGGCTTGCTTATTAAAATATCAGAATGTTTCTTCCTAATAACTCGTTTCTTTTTATTTAGTATATAAAGATAGTATGGTAGGTACAATATTGGTGAAAGGTACTGTCTGTGTTTCTGGTCTCTCAATTGAACCTACAGCATGAGTGTTGTTACAATGGCTGGTGTGCTGTTTATTTTCATCAACAATGTTTTCATGTGCTACTAGATCAACTTCAGAAATGATTTCATTAATAGTAACGTAGCTCGAGAATGCTAGGACTTTCCAGTCTGTTTTGAGATTCATCTATTGGCAAATAGTTGTTCTGTTCCTGTGGCTGTTTATTTGAAATAGAAATTTCAGTTGCATTTCGGGGTTCATCTGCATATGTCATTAAGGCCATATAATATAATAATACGGCCGTAATTGGTCGGTTTTGATTCTGTTGCAGTATAGGGATATCACCAAAACTTACAAAAGTAGTTCTGAATTTTTCTTTGTCCATGGGGCTGATACTAGCAGCTTTGAATCCACTATAGCCTTTTCCAAAGTTGTTGTCCGATTAAATGCTTTTGTATATAGCCCCACAACATCATACGTTGTAATTTTGGCCCCAGGATTGTTTGTCATATATATTTCGCATTCTTTGTTGTACGCTGTTTTCAAGGGACCGTGGAATGTTAGATCGAAAGGTTACATCCTGTGAGATGTATGTGGTGGCAATGTCAGGACATGGATGGAGTTTTGTTTGCAAATGTTATGAGCAGCCAGACTTATGTGACTTTCATGGTTGTCAAGTATCAGTAAAATTGGATTACTAACCGATGGGCGAGCGAAGCTTTTAAAATGGTGAAGCCAGTCAATAAAAAGTTTTTCTGATATCCATCCTGAATCGGAAACGGAGGCAACAATAGTAGAGTAGCTTTGCTTCATTAAAAGCGGGTTCATCCTTTTTCTTTTAAAAATAAAGATAGGTGGAACATAAGATCAGCGGCACTACAAGCATTTTTTACAGTAGTCAGAGTGCCACGCTCTCCGCTCATGCATTTCCCAACCTGTTTTAAACTTTTGGGTGCGAGAATTTTTGAATTTATTTGAACGGTGCTAATGCTTGTCTCATCCGCATTATACATGTCATTCGTCTTGAATTTATATTTAGTCATGAGTAGCGACAAATTGTCAAAGAACAAATTCACTTCTTCGGCATTGAAAGCTGAAATCCGACTAAGCGAAGTAGCTTCCGGCTTGCGAAGGATGCCGTGCCATGAATCTGTAGTACCAATCCATTCCTGCCATACCTGTCTTTTGATCAAAGTTATTTTTTAATCCATTAGCTGATTCGAAGCGACGATACAGTAGTTCCATAAAAATTTCGACACGATTTAATAATTAGTTTCTCTGTTACTCTATTATATTTCCGAAGCATCTGAAACATCACAGACGAGTTTGATAGTAAGACAACCAAAACATCAATCGAACGCTTAGAAAAAACGTGTCAATATTGATATAATTAATTAATAGTCTAGCAGGTGAAGTTATATTAAGCTTGTATAATAATTATGTATCATTTTGCGAATTGGTGGAATATCAACGACATAAGGATGGAGTGTTCCGGAACTTCTAGTCGACCGAAGGAGGAACGGTGAGGGTGGAACAAAACTAATAAGTTCCTGCGCACACTCCCGGAAATGTATCCGATAGAAAACCGACAAGCAGGCTACTTTTCTGCGATGGCCGAGATTTTGTAACTTCGACTCCACAAGAGAATTGTTGTTAATAAGTTTCTTTGCTTTTCGCTCCACCGAGTCCAAGGCAGCTAACTGGTAATGGGCAGAGCCGTTCCAAAGGTGACAGCAGTACTCCATACACGATCAGGACCTTTTTCAGAGCTACGATCTGTACTATCTGGAGATTAACAGTCCCCTTGAGTTTTGGTCCATGGTTTACAGATTATCATGACAGTTAAAAACATGATATTCAATAAAAATAAATATAGCAACTCACTTTCTCATTCACTGGATACACTTGTTTCGTATTTTTTTATATACACTTCGTTTCAATCCATTTTGAACAAAAAGTAATCAAACAAGTCACTGACCCGACCATAGACGGTTTAGTGATGGCCAATTGTACTTCCAAGTACAAATCGAATAATTAATTCAATAAATCGATTTGTTTGATTGAGTCATACTAGCGGTTTTTCTTACCATAAAAGAATATTTAAGATTTCCGAAAATTTAATTTTAAAGCCGTCTTCAAATCCCTACATGGTAAAAACAGATTACTTACTTAGAAAAAGACAAAATTCTTTTTATGAAGACAAATTAATTAAATCCAACAAAATGATCCTCTCCCTATAGACGCTAAAGAATAATTACTTGATAATAGTAAAAAACGTCTCAAAAGTGTATTTTAGTTATAAGACACAAATATTTAATCCAAGAGCAAATTAATTTACTTCAAGTCACAAAGCTACTCTAGATTCAACAAAATATTTATTAGTTGTAAGAAATGTCCGATTTTGACTTGAAAAAAAAAAGAATGAAAAATTGAGAGGTACTTAATTATTTGTCTGAAGATTTATGTTTTCTAAAATCAAAAAAGCGTAAATTTATTATTTTAAATTAGGATTATGGACCCAACAGTATGTCTCAATCTAGTGCCATATAAATGCTGCAGCGGCAGAAAGCACTAACAATTCAAAATACATGAGATGACTTACTATTGAAGTTAACAAAACGATATCGCGTTTCAGAGTACAACTAATGCCATCTAGCAGTGGCGCGATGGAACTAATTGCATGTTAAAGTTGTGCTTTGCTGAAACCAAATTTCTTAAATTATGACTACAAATAACACACTAACAAACTAGAGATACTACGTATTGTTTCTTTGGATAAATGACTGTTTATGATTTTTATGATTACAAGCACAAGTAGAAGCAATCGTTACCGATTGCGCCTTCGGCGACATGTCAAGACAACATTGACTATGAAAATGCAACGAAATGTTGCTTTAAAAATATACTCTAGAATTTAGAATATTAATCTGAATAGCAAACTACTTCTTTTTTTGTTTAAGAATATATTTTCTTAAAATCCACCAAAGAAATTTTGAATTCGTTTAAGATTATGTAAATTTGATGTAAGAGGTAAAAATTTCTTGATGCAAGTAATTGATTAGAAATGAAATAAAATCTTGAAGTAAAGGTATTTGTTTAAAAGTTGGAATAAAGTTAAGAGTAAAATTGTATTACAAAAAGATAAGCAGTACTTTTGTAATGACAATATTCTATTACTTTTAATAAATATCTTATTAGTAGAATTCCTTTTTTTCTGTATACACTTAGATACTCGTTAGATTGGGAATAAATTTTTTTTACTAATCGGCTACGAAAACTTTAATTGAATGAACCGAATGTTTTTTTCGTACAGATGCAACCATTTACCACTTAATTTTGGACTACAATTTGTCAAATACGACTTTACGATGCTATTCAAATGAATATAGTTAGAATTGGTGAGATATCAAGTTGAAATCTTCGAAATACACGTAAAAGCGTTACTTATTCGATTCATTGAGGAATTACTTTAGAATTTTAACCAAAGAGTTTTGTTTAATTTTTGTTTAAAATGGATTGTGATAGACTATAAGTTCATGTTTTTATTAAAGTCGTCACGTTATTTGCCAGTAATCTCGTACCTTTTCAGTTACGTTTATACATGTATTTATATAACGTAAGCTAAATCTTTTTCTATTTAATACTACTTACTCACAGGGTTAAAAACACACCAAACTTGATATTGTTAAGAAAAAAAAAACTTACTTATTGTGTTTCAAACCAATCCTTTATTTTTATGCTCCGCCTTAAAGTCTCCAGAACTTTAGGATCGTCAGAACTCTGGGAGACTTAAAAAAGATGATCAAGAAATTTTCTTTATTCACCGATTGACAGCGACTGCCGTGACGGTCGCAGATCCACCTGTTCTCCGACTCCTGTTTTTTTTTAGTCTCTCATTCGTTCGGAAATTTTACACAAACCGATAACGATACCAAATTAAAATTAAATAAAACATTTTAACCATAAATCTAACAATACAAAATTAAAATTAAGTAATACATTTTAATCATAAATCTAACAATATTAAGACTTAAATTTTGACTATACATCAACGTAGTTTGTTGATTATGCTACTAACTGTACAAATATACAATAAAGACCTATTTCAATAACATTGTTTACAAAGCTATTTATAAAAGCGGAAAACAAAATGTTGAGAGTGAATAAGTGAGTAAATATTATATATTAAAAAAGGCAGCAAAAAAGCCAACAGTAAAAATGGCAGCAAAAACTTATTCGAATTAGGAATGCGTAAAAATGAGATAGTAATTACAATTAACAGAACATACTTCGGTGCGTGTGCCCATGAACTCCATCAGTTCATTTCGCTTGCGCCTTTTTACTATAGGAGAGTCAGACTACAGACATATGGTGGGACGTCATGCCTGGCGGTAGATATTGCCTTCCTATTTTGGTGAAATTACAGGCACATGGGACTTGTCAACTTATGTCTCAGGTTGACGGGCGCAGTGGCCCTGAGACTTTTACGATTTTATTTGAATGGACAGGCGTCTCGCTTACCGCCAGGGGACTGACTTAACCGTCCCGTCACTTGATATCATAAAAAACAACCGACTTCAAAGATTCGTGGAATTATATCTATTTACCAAGTTTTATTGAAATCGGCTATTTCCCTCCCTTAGAAGTACAATATTTTCTTCAAATTTAATAGAAACGTCATTATTCTCGATTTTCTGACTGATGACATCAAATTGCTCGAACATGCTAGGACTTTCCAGTCTGTTTTGAGATTCATCTATTCGCAAAGAGTTGTTCTTTTCCTGTGGCTGTTTATTTGAAATAGAAATTTCAGTTGCATTTCGGGGTTCATTTGCATATGTCATTAAGGCTCTTGGTCGGTTTTAATTCTGTTGCAGTATAGGGATATCACCAAAACTTGCAAAAGTAGTTCTGAATTTTTCTTTGTCCATGGGGCTGATACTAGCAGCTTTGAATCCACTTATAGCCTTTTCCAAAGTTGTTGTCCGATTAAATGCTTTTGTATATAGCCCCACAACATCATACGTTGTAATTTTGGCCCCAGGATTGTTTGTCATATATATTTCGCATTCTTTGTTATACGCAGTTTTCACTTGTCAACTTATGGCTCAGGTTGACAGGCTCAGTGGCCCTCAGACTTTCACGATTTTATTTGAATGGACAGGCGTCTCGCGTACCGCCAGGGGACCGACTTAACCATCCCATCACTTGATATCATAAAAAACAACCGACTTCAAATTTTCGTGGAATTATATCTATTTACCAAGTTTTATTGAAATCGGTCATTTGCCTCCCTTAGAAGTAGAATATTTTCTTGAAATTTGAATCGGACCACACTTCGCAACAAAGAAGAATCTTTTGATTGAAACTTTCACGATTTTCACACATTATTTGATTTTTAATTCGGAACTTATTCACTTATAAAACATATTTTATTTACCTCGACGTTTCGGACATATTGCAACGTCCATGGTCTCGAAGGGACTGAAGAGGTTCGTGTCAGCATCTTCTAGCCGTGCAAGTTTTTCTAACTACCCGCACTTGATCTTCATTATTTATTTGTACACTAGGGTTCTCACTAGACCGACACACAACACTCACGACATCCGGCGACTTGTCGGGCGATACTTGATGTCGTTTACATTTGCCTTTGTGTTACTATCATATGTAGCTGATTTAATAAGTGCGTTAACTTCCCACTTTAACTAAAACTGTCTCAGTAGTCACTCTTCTTTACTAACAACATTACAAATTCTGAAATTGTTCTAAAGCGCCATTAATATTATCAATTTAAAGGAACATGGGACCCAAGTGAGTTTCCTGTGGAAGACCTAGTCAAGGCTGGTCTGGCGATTACTGAAATTGGTCTGCGGTCGCCGAAGATGCAGATCCTAGGCGGCACAATCATTGTAGACCTGGAAAACATCACGTTGCGACATGTCGCCACTCTCACGCCCACTGTCGCTTATCAAATCGTTGCTCTGATGGGGGTAAGGCTCAAATTCAAACTTTAAACTTCATAATAATAAACCGACATTCTAATATCAATGTAGTTAACCTTGACAAAGTCTATTGGATTACCGTTGGCAGTGGGAAGTATCTAGACATGTTTAACACTTATACATACATGTTCTTTATTCTTACTTGATTCTTATCAATTCCACAGGCAGCAAACCCAACAACAGCCAAGGCGCTCCACATCATAAACTACTCCTGGATCTTGAACACTTTCTTCTACCTCTTCAAGCAGTTCATACATCGTGACGCGATGAGGAAAATCTTTTTCCACGGATACGACCTTAAGTCTTTGCAGAAACATATCGATTTGGAATGTCTACCTGAAAGATACGGAGGTACTTGCAGAAGTCTTGTACCTGCTTCCTTGTGGTTTGACAAAATTAAGAAATACAGAGATGAACGATTCGACAGGGAAATGAAACAATTGGGATACATAATTAAAGAATAATTGTGTCAATCACATTTAAAGATTCCATAACGCGGAATTTATTATAATTCATGTATGAAGTACTTATTATAAAAGTGCAGTTCTGACTGTAACTGGATAACGTCGTATCTTTAATATTGGTGGGACCTCAACAAGCGAATTTACTCCAGTTGATCACATATTTTTAAAATATAATTTTAAAATTAATGACGGCGTTATAACATTTGTTTACGTTAGTTCCTAAGAATTACAGTCACATGGGACTTGTCAACTTATATTTCAAGGTGACAAACGCTGTGGCGATGTCCCTCATGTTGTTTTGTTTGATGTTTACGCGAGCTCAGAGAGGCACTGCAACTGCTATAGACAGGTGTAGGCGTGTCGCTTAACACGCACACGACTTGTTTGTCCCACCACTTGGTATGATAAAAAAAGAAGCCATGGGATCAATAAATTCTACACAAAATCAAATTATTTTATATGAATGTATGTCTCTTTAAGTACTACGGAGAACCGTTAAATGTTTGTTTTCTACAGAAGCCTTAAAGTTATTAAATTTGTATTTACCTCAAAAATTGCATATTTCCCAGCTATTTGACGACACGATGCCCCGCCCGCTGCTCCGCCTGTCCTTATTCTATTCATATTAATTTACAACGCGCGGGTTGCGGGACGCGAGTGGCGATCCGCCACAATCTGGGCTCGCGATGAAATACTTCGCCTTAAGGACTAGGTTTGCCATATTATAATAAATACATACCAATATATAGCTTTAAACGTACGTAATACTAGTAGATTTCAGGAGTTGGACCTTTGGCGTTAGTCATTTGTAAGGCATATTGTGAGCCGTTTGCTCGCAGCGATCTCTATCAGTCAACTATTGTTTAGTTTTAAGGTTTTTTTAGTATAATTGTGCCTTAAGAGGGAGCATGCCAACAAAGTTTTGACGTTGGCTCCGCCTACATTTGTGAGACAAATATATGCCTGAAGTTCGCGTGACATGCTACAGGAGATGTTGAATTTTGCACGTTAAAAGTATCAAATTCGTTTTAGCGGAATAACTCTAAAACTAAAGGAATAAAAAAAAATCCGTAGTGACAGTTCTCGATCATGCATAAATATAATTAATTATCTAATTTTTGTCCTAATAACCTGTAGCATTTGGAGGATGAATCGAAAAATGTGAAAATTAGAGGTCATTTCGTGATTTTTATCTATCGAGGAAACTTTATTGTTTTATGTTTCTAATTAGTGTCTATGCTTGAATATATCGTGTAGTTACTCATACAATATTTTATTTTTAACTTTAAAGTGGATATACCCCTCTAAAATCAAATCGAAGATTAGGAATTTTTGCTCTGCTCCCTCTTAAGTTGAATTGACTTTGTACACGCTGGGTGACGTTTAACTGAACTCAAACTAACCATCAAAGTCGTTTTCGTTAGTAAACGTGGAAGTGGGCTATCGTAGAGATATAAGAGTGGTTACACACCGCGATTTTTAGTAGCGATGCAAATGCGCGACTGCATCGATACAAACGCGCGATTGCATCGCTGGTAAATGACGCCGTGTGTACAACGCTGCAGTGCCTTGCTTCGGACAAATTTATTGTGATATTTTTAAACACTATAATGGTTAGAAATGTAATAAAACTTTTAGTTTTCATACTTTGTGTACATATGAGTGTTTGCAAAATAAAAATATAGAAAATAGATAAATAAAGTGAATATTTTTATATTGCATTTTCAGTCACCCTTTGTAGTTTCTTTGTGACTTAATCAGCTTTAAGTCTTAAAAAGCTTGGTACATTTAAGGACCATTTGAGAAATTTTGGATTTTTTTTTAAACTTTCTAGAAATCATTCAGGTGGATTCACGAGACACTTCTCAGCCTTCATACGGATGAAACTGCGAGCTGAAGAATTTCCTTCAAATATTGAAAGTTTAAACAAGTATAAGGCTTTAGTGCACCGCCATTTTACTCTAAGATACCTTTTTTTTTTACACAAAAATAACCTCAAAAAATTGTGGAATTATATTTGCCAAGTTTTATTAAAATCAGTTAACGGAAAGTGGGTGAAATCCAATAAACTGGATTTATCCCCTAATTTACCACCATTAGAGTTGGAACGTTTTTTTTATATTTAAGTGGGACCTCTACTGAAATCGGTTGACAAATGACAGTAATCGCGCAATATACAACACGCAAAAAATTGTCGAATTGAGAACCTCCTCCCTTTTTGAAATCGGTTAAAAATTACAAACACAGTCATTAACTTATCTGTAATAATAGCCAACGGCATTATTGTATGACAATCCAATTGAGCATCTGATAACGTAACGAAGGTTTTTTTGGAAGCATTCAGGCAACTATATCCCATAAAATACATACATTAAAGACTTACTTACATGTAATATAAAATACAAAGTAATTATCACGAATTACGGCGACATGTGACGCAATATGGCGTCTGGTAAACGACCTCGTAATCCGACACGCCGCCCGGTACAGACAGACATATATCTAGATAGGCGCCACAAGTGTACGTACTTCGCGTGCCCAAAGTAAGTGGAATTCACTTACTTTGCGCTGCTGGTTAATCACCAGTCGAAAATGCGAAAAATGCATAGTTGTGCCATTATAAACTGCAAAAGCACCATAACTGTGGGTAAACGGGTAAACAGAGACGTTTCCTTCTACGAGCAAGTGATTTTGTAATCAGAAGATATATAATTTATTTTAAAAACAATTATTTTGGTTTAGTATGAATTTCGAGAAAACAAATATGCAACAGAGTGTATGCCTCATATTTGTAATACATTGCAGCTTTTACTTGGTCCGATACATTTGTGGCCCTTTGTTAATACGCCATGAATATCGAACGAACGCACTTTTGTATAATGCGTTCAGTTTCGTGGTACGGCCGCTTATACATTCTTTTGACCAGATTTAACATTTAGTGCGTTAGGCAACACTGTTCTCGATTCTGATGGATTTTGAAACCAAAGGGTCGAAAATTATTATAAAAATATTCTATAACTGTTTTGTTATAACGTTTAGCAACGTTTCGTTTTTTTTTTCAGTTTTGTAGTGTCTATTATCAATAGTATGTGTAATATCGGTAATTTTTGCAGCACGTTGCCTCGAGTGTCCGAATATAGTGAGCAAATAATAACATACATCGCCGGATATGTCCTACGAGTACACAAAAAATATATAATGCAAAGAATTAACAGTGCGCTGTCTTTACAAAAACCTGGACTTGGTCATACGTATAAGTTCGTTGCTTTCAAGGACGAAGGTGGTCTAGTCTAGTTAAGATGAAATATGCAGAGTAGCAGAGTTAGAAATCCGAGATATAATAAACAAATCACAAAAGTTTCACACGAGGCCCTCATTAAGTAAACGTCTTCTGATTAATTAGATTTTACCATATTTTGTCAGCAGTACCAGTTTCAATCAGAAATGAGCAGGTCCGTAGAAGAACAAAAGTCGCCGACATAGCTCGAAGGATTAGCAAGTTGAAGAGGCAGTGGGCAGGGCACATAGTTCGTAGGGCACATAACTGACAGCCGTTGGGGCAGAAAGGTTCTTGAATGGAGAAAAGGACGGCGGGTAACCGATGGTTGCACGTCACGTCCGATCGGCTGCTCTGGAAATCTTTGGGGGAGGCCTATGCTCAGCAGTGGACGTCTTCCGGCTGATATGATGATGAAGATGATGAAGAACATTTTCATTTGTCTTGTCATTCCTCAATTTGATCAATTACCAACAGTCGCAAGTTCATATATTGACGTGAGTTTTCATTATTTAAGTTAATCGATAAGATCTTTTATTACAAAAAGATGTTATATAATAAGCTCATTTTATTGAAAGGATAATAAATGTAATATTTGAAGTCGATTAAAAATTAAAGTCTTAATTTTTTTTAAGTAATCAACATTTTTTTAAAACAAGTGAAATAAAGGAGTTAACTATCTTATTATAATATTTTTTACTATATTAATATTACGACTACTTCTAATCAACAAATACTTCAACAAAAATTATTCTATTTAGAATCGATTAATTAAATGGAATACGCGTGTTTATGCGTATTCCGTTCAATCAATCGATTTAGGCGAGCGGAAGGAGGTCTCCATCACTAAATAGTTCTTGCGACGTCATAGTGGGTACAAAAAATGTGGCACGCTTGGTTTTCATACAAATTGCTGTACTTGAGGCGTCTATCTAGATATATGTCTGTGTAAACGACACCTTTTTTATAATATAAAGTGACGGAACGAACAAGTCGTGCGCCTGATGGTAGACGCCTGTCCATTACAGTTGCAGTGCCACTCAGAGCTTTAAATCGTAAACATCTGTGGCGCACTGGCACTGGGCCCGTCACTCGGAGGCGTAAGTTGACAAGCCTGTAATATCACCTTAGCCTTCAAAACCGGAACGCAGTAACGCTAACATTACTGCTTGGCGGCAGAAATAGGTAAGGTGGCAGTACTTCCCTGAACTAACCCTTTCACAAGGCGCTCTACAGCTACTGCTACTAGTATCGATTATAACAGACTCATACACATTACTAACATCAGATTTTGTTATAACACCTTACGCCAAAACTCTTTATGAAAGTCGACAGGTATTCGTTCTGCACTACAAACTAATTAAAAATCAAACGTATTATAATCCCCGCTGAGGCGATATGTAGGCCATTTTGGGGCTTTTGAAGGAAAGGAAGGAAGAAAGAAAAATAGAAAGAAAGAACGAAAGAAAGAAAATACATTTATTTGTTTACCACAATGAGACCACAAAAGAAAAAAAAGAAAACGAAACAAAACAGAACAAAAACAAAACATAATCAACATTCAACGTAAAACACATTGACTTACAAATAAATGGACGACGGGTCTAATACACAAACCACGAAAAAAATGTCCCAAGTCAACCTATATAAACGTAGTGACATGTCAAGGAATATGAAAAAGCTAAAACGTTGAATTTAAATTGTAATGTCATCGCAGTACTGTCTAATTTTGCTTGCTTCGCTGTCAGTCGAACAAACGAAGACTAAAGCGTGAAGAACGCTCTGTATACGATTTTAACGCCCTATAAGTTCGGACACTTATTAGCGCGGACCCGACGTCCATATAATTGTAAGTCAATGGTAAAACATAAATAAATAATTACGAAACAAAAACACAAACAAAGCAAAAAAGAAAAATATATACAAAAAAAATTGATTAAATGAAAACATGAACTTTTCACACAAATAATAAAAAGAACACTAGATATCGAGATATTTTGTGTGGTGCCAGCCGCGGTAACAAAAGGGTCATAAACTCAGTATTTGCTGGAAAATGCAACGCGGGAACGCGTTGCGTTTTGACTTTGACTTTGCGCTCTGACTTCCAGTTAGGACCCTAAGTGAGGTCGCGGAAGAACATACGCAAACTTACTTGGATAATCTAATATAACACCTTTTGGGGAAAGTGTTATCTGAATTGCAATTAGTACGGAGTGTTTTAGACTAATTGTACTTTTTTATATCATTCTATTATTTTATTGTTACAGCTCTTCATTTCTACGTTTAAATAAATTATGTGGACCGGGCCTTTCCTTTCGCTAACGCTAGGCAACAGTATTATGTTGATTATCGTATATACTTAATTCCGTTAGAACATCAAAAGTTTAACTAACGTTTAATGGTCAATTTATTTCGTATCAGGACCGTTTCTCTTTGTGCCGTGACAGGCGGCGGTGTGTTAAATGGGCTTGGTTGTTAGTAAATTTTCACCCGTCAGGTGATGATGATCAAAGTGTCGACTTCACTTTGAAGAAGGGTTCAAATACACCATTCATATTCTTAATTAATATCAGTATAAAGAACGCCTTTGTCGAACACAAAGGAGTAATTTCTTCATTGTAATAAAATATCCTTTCATAATGGTTTTTACTTTTTTTTTATTTGTCAGACAACCAGACATTACTGCCTCTGTGGCCGAATGGTTACCATGCCGACTTATCAGAGGATCTAGGTTCAATTCCCGTTAATTAAGTCTCAAATATTTCTATATTTCTGAGACTGGAAACGTCAATCTCGAGCTTCGAAAATTTCTAAAAATTTTCGAGACTCCAGAAGTTTTCGAAGCCGAGTATTCCGGAATGAAGCCAAAATAACAGTTATGTAGATGAAGCTCAAAATGACGCAGTACCTATTAGGACAATGATAATTTACTCTAATGAATATTTACGAAATCACTAAAGGCTTACTTTGAAAGCCGTGTCGCGCAATTCGCAGAACATTTCTTTGGAAAAATATTCTTGAAACAATTAATGATTCCACGATCTACGGACTAAACTTAATGTGGATTTACCAGAACCACTTTTTGTAATGGTATTCTTAAGTAAGTTTTCAGAAGAATAAAGTTAAATTAATGAAAAGGTGCTTTTTCATCCGCGCCTTTTATTAATAAGTCCGTATTATTTCTTCGTCTTATAGTACTCATGAATGTCAAGGGCTAATGACTTTTAATAATTATTTCGTTACGCTAAATTGGATTATACAAGTACGCAAAAATTGTGTAAGACATATTTCTGCCTTAATTTTATATATAAATTAAAGGCAAGATTTAGATCATTCATTGAAATTTATCCAAATTTGACACTTTTTAATTAAATTCGTCAAATTTGATTGTTATAAATTTATCACCCTTAGAGGGTACAACAGACTTTAACCGAGGTGACGGAGGCTTAACCAGATAAATTATTTAACTTAGTCACAGTTTACTTAACAATTTCTACGTAACAGATACATCACTCTCATACAAAATTGAAAATACCTACGCTGTAATAGCCTACTAAATCTGACTAATGACACCTGGATCTCGTTACGAAGAAAAAGGAACCTAAGCACGCGCTCAGAGAGGTGAAAATAACGTTGCCCGTCGACTGTAGTCGTGCGGAGCCGAATACTCATAAATGAAAGATTTATATGAGAGCTTGCGCTGTCATCAGCTCACTCAGCGGTAGACACTCATCACATAGCCTCGAGCGAGTGACGGAACCTTGGTTGTACTTGGTTTGTTACTCGGTAAATAAACCTATTTACCGTAACCAATAACTCAAGAAAACTACTAATCTCCAGATGGTACAGGTAGTAGCTCTGAAAAGGTAAAAATTCCGTCTTGTGTCAACAAGCTAATCAACAGCCTGGAAGTAGTTAATAGTACGTAAATGGCCGTGGATATCTATATATGCCGTGGATATATAATCTTTGATACGAAATCTAAGAAGTCACTTCCAAAAACGCATGAAATTATACACCTTTTAAAACTCGTACTTCCAGAACTAATCTTGGTATCTCTGCTCCTATAAGTAGAATTGTTAAAATTTAAATAATATTAAAATAAAAATATATCAAGTTGTTATATTAATAATATTAATATTAGTAACCTATTGCTATATGAATTTGAAAGTGTATACCTATATGTTATAATGAAATCCGCTTGCTAGTACTAGCATGATGCGGTATACATTTTTTTTAATATTTTGATTGTACCTTTTTAGCTATACCCTGTACATGTATTGTGTTGGCTATCCATTCTAAATAAATAAATAGATGGCATTGTGTGTTACAAACTAATTAAAAAAATCACGCTTGCTAATATGGGTAGATGGCGTTAATCCTAAACAAAATAAAAGAATAGCCGGCACTAGCCATAAAAATCAGTGCAACAAGCGCCATCTAATCGATTTGTTTGTTATCGCTGGAAATTAGAATAGCTTTTATAAATTGCAGCTTGTCAATGTAAAAAAAAAATAGTTACAAAACTAGCTATTTGGTACTCGTCGTAACATCTGGTGTACCGTCTTGAGTCGCGATTAGCAAGTACTCTTGAGTTGCCGTGCCGTAACTAACGGCAAAGGCGTTAAAATTAATGTAAATAACTAAAAATTGATATCAATTTTTTAGGGGTGTGTGGGGGCAAAACACCAACTTAATGTCCCAAAAGTCATCCTCACCTGCACGTGGTGCACCCTCTCGACAAACGAGAAGCTCTGGCGACCGAAACCGATGGGGGTACGTCCATCTAGCTGAGTCCCAAGTATCTTGATCAGCGCCGGGCAGCAGCGCTGTTGACGCGAGATACATCTCTGCGCTCACCAACCCGTTTGCCCAACGTGGTGAGTATGGGCATTAACCCCCAAAATGCGAAAGCTAAGGAAAAAGCGGCCCCCATTTCCCGGCCGTCTTACTATTCCGGGCCAAGGCAGCGGCCTCGGTAACAGTAAGACAGGGGGTATGAAGAATCCCCGGGTTACTAATCATTAACATGATTGGTATTTACATTTTAAACTTACAAAACTGCGACTGTAAAAGAAGTAAACTACCTACGTGAAGGCTGCTGTTTCGTTCGATTACGCGACACGGTGCGTTGAAAGTCCAATTTCGGTTGCTTTGTGCGGTATATTTCACGATGCCAGGTTAAATTCTCATACTTTCTTTCCCAGGAGGACGAGAGCGGATGCATTGCCAGAAGTACTAATACACTATTGACAAAAGTATCGATCGTAGCCCAGTGGGAAAATGGATGCTTCTCAATTCTTTTTCACAATAAAATTTAGTTCTTTCTTACTGGTTCTTACTTTCTTACATTATACTTGATATTCTTTATTTATTATTATTATTATTTAGGAAAAAGCACAGAATACATTAATAAAAAGAAATCACAGACAAAAGGTATCGCTTATCTCTATAAGAAATTTCTTCCTGCAGATCTAAATACAGTACAAAATAACTATAATAACGACTTTGCACAACACACAAAATTAAGTATTACAATATTAATAACTTTAAACTATTATAAACTATATAAATAAGTCTGCAGTCTGCGAGCATGTCATGGATAAATCTAAATCTTCATTGAATATGATGTTTGACAAACCCCAGGTCCTCGCAAAAGAAGTCCGTTATCTACCCAGGACGCTGCGAAAGGACATTGAAATAAAAAAATCTTAATTTCAACAGGGTAGATGGTTTCTCCGTACCACCAGTTTGGGATCCAGTATTTCCTCTGATGTAAAATCCCAAACAGACATAAGACTGCAGTATTAATTAATATGTTTTAATTTATTCTAATTTCCATTATTAATTAATAATAAATTTACCTTAATGAAAATTCATATTGGTACAATAAAATAATTTGTAAATTGGAATGTTTCTTTGTAAAATTAAAAATAAGGTATTTAATTAATAACTTTTGCAACTATATTGAAAAAATAGGGTGGTTTGCATTAATATTAGACATAACTGGTTGATGACTGTATCACCTCAGTCAACCGTGACCATGGGACCTGTAAAGGACCCGAAACTTTGGTTTGTTTGAAAAACAAATATACGCGATTTAAATCCGGAAAAATAGTTTCATTTCCTATGTGTAACAATCGCGAAAACCTGAGAACTCGACATTATAAACAAGATAAATACATATTTCATAATAAAATACCTATAAAATGGATGGAACAGTAGATAAATAATGCTCTTTAACTCTCAATTTAAAAGTAGATAATGATGTACTTTCTTGAACAGAAATAGGTAGTGCGTTTCAAAGTCTGACCGCATGAACAGTGAAAGAGTGAGAATAAAAACTGGAATTGAAGGAAGGAAAAGATAACTGGGACCTAATGAGAGGGCGACAGGGTTTGTCCTGAGACCTTAGAAAGCTGAAACGCTCTTTCATATGCAACTATCACTCAAGTGAGTTGACTACGATAGTGTGAGATTCGGTCAAATTTACCTTTATTATAGTGACCGAAATTAAATCTAGGTATATTAAAATTACAAGCCTTCATTTAATATTCCGCCCGTCGTCATCTTACGAGCCAGCTATAAATACAAGAGATCTCAGTCTTCAATTGGCAGTATGCAACAGTGGGAGGTACCATTGACGATGGTGATTCAAAAGTAAGATATCAGATAGGTTCCACGTAGCTGTTTCCACAAGGACTCGACCCACAGAAGCCTATTAACGGCCGCTTTGATTGTCTCTCTTAATCGAAACTCAGTCAGAATAGTCACAATTCGAGAGATATTCAGCACGATTCTGTGTTCAGTATTTGCCTTAACGTCGAAATTCAGTATTTACATAAAATTGATCAGAGCCATCTAGTGTCTTTTGAGGGTTTTAAAATCATAATTGGTTTGTGATGTGTAATGAAGGATCGATATAGCAACAAATGATTCATTGTCACTTAGAATAACGATATTTGATGTAATTATTAATAGAAAGATTGAATACTCAGAAGAGATTCCTTCGATCCGGCCGGATTTGAACCGACGTCTTCTAGCATATCGTGTCAGACGCTATACCTACTAAGCCACGGAACGAACCAGCGGACCTCACGAATTTTTCTACGTGCTTGTTGTCGGGTCTTTGAATTTGGTTTTTTCAATGACTTTTTAGCCGTAGCGCCATCTATGAGAAATCTATGAAAGTATTTTGTCAACCAGTTAGATACCTTTACAGCTACCAGCCACCTTTGATTTAATTTCAAATTTAAATTTAATCACTTATTGAATAATAATAATAATAATAACGCACACACTCAACATAGCCCCGCACTAGGGAAACCCTGTGTCGCGGGTGCCATGGACACACACATAGACAACCACAAATTACACCCAAACTCACGAGAGAAATAAATGTAGGTCATACAAATATTTCTCCCGGCCCGGGAATCGAACCTGGGACCTCTGCGTGGCAGTCCGGCATGGTAACCGTTTGGCCACTGAGGCAGTTAATAATTAATAAGTGGTATAAGAACAAGAGATATAATTTCATTGTGTATAATAAACCTTCAGTAAGACTTAGTAAAACGAACCGAATATTAGATATAATAATTAGGTAATATAATGAAATAATTGACAGCCCGGATTCGACTCACGGCCTCGTCTTAACAGGTAGTACGTCAAAGTTAGATTGCCACGGCTTTTTTAAAATTTATTGATTAATTTTATTGCATATTAAAAACTTCTAACAGTGCATGTTTTCTTTTTTATTATATCAAGTGACGGGACGAACAAGTCGTGTGCCTAGCGGTAAGCTACACGCCTGTCCACAACAGTTGCAGTACCACTCAGAGCTTTATATCGCAAAGATATAAGGGGCACTGCCACTGCGCCCGTCACCCCGAGACACAAGTTGACAAGTCCATGGGCCTGTAATTTCGTCAGTATTGCCTTGTCTTATATATAACAGTGGATTGTAATATATAGATTTGTTACAACCACAGAACAATAAATACAGTAGAAGTGTTTAGTTTGCGTGGCACGTATGCCAACAGTTCGCGGAGTTCCGCAAACTTGAGCTCAGTCGGCTATTTTCGCTTTGTACGTTATGGTCGTGTCAATTAACTCGCGCAAAACCTCGAAAGTAGTAGGAAAATGCATTATTTCGCTACTTTGGAGTGCAAAAATGATAATCGCACTTGTATATTATCTATGGTGGTGTTTTGTATCATCAGTAGGTCTTATTTTATTTAATTTTGTAACAAAATGACATAACAGGCAACAATTCATATTAGTTCCATCACGCACCGCTAGATGGCATTGGCGTCGAAATAGCAAATTCTGCATCGCGGTGTTAAGATTTTCCCTCGCGGAATGACTACTGACGGCGATGCAAACATGAATGTAATCCAACTTACTACGCATCTAGCTCTGCTTTGTTTTTAACTCCGCTTAAGAACGTAACACGTAATTGTTGCACCCTGAGCCGCTTCCTTATTGGAATGTACGTACGGGACCTCGACTACGTGCCGATTAGGGGGAGTCCTTTCCCACTGTACTACCGACGTTGTACATGCTGTATATATGGTGAAATAAAACCACTATATTGGAAAAACCTGGTTTCCCTCTGTCACCCCTATAAGAACTTACTACAATTTTAATAAATTTTAAATTTGTTTCTGAAAGTAAACCTTATGCACTACAATATGGTCGCTTCTTTTTTGGAGAACTCAATATACATCTCGAATACGTCGTCGTTCAGCATTAACGGCTAGATGGCAGCACACCGATTGAAATTTCAATATTAAATCAAAACGTCGTAACTTGCAATAATAGGTTTTGTCTATATTGAACTTTCAACTTTTGGCATATCAACAGGGTAAAATTTAAATTATATTAGCAGTGCACAATTTGTTATTTCTTTCTAAATTTGAAACTACGACATAATCATTATCCAGATTTCGTAGTGTTTTAAATTATTAATGTGTGCATTTTGGCGACAGAGGTTCTGGTAGTAATCGGGGCTTAAGACACTTTTCATTGTTTTTATTCTTCAGTGATTACAACTAATATAACAACTGTTCCTAATATAAACGCGTTTTAAAAACCTGACGAAGACAAATATATTTAATATAAGGGTGAGCCAAAACCGACAAGAATGCGGTACGGGGGCAGAGTGGAATAGCAAAGTGTCCCCAAACACGACATTCCTATCACCAAAACAAACAACTTTTGTTCTTGTGCAAACACATTTGTCACAGCAGTACAGGTCCTTGTGAACGAGTTCATTTTGGGAAGTTCTTCCCTCCTCGTCATAGCTGAATAATTTGCATTTTGGTAACTTTCTAGATATTGGCATCAAAAGTTATTTATTATTTGAAAAATGACAATTATGCCATTTTGGATTAACAATAAAACTGAAACTAAATAAATAAGATACAGGTGTTGTAGATCTGGTTTCGCTGATTCCATACATGTTAATAGCCTCAATTTCGATAAAAACGTCTATTGCGTTAGTTATGTAATGTATATAGTAAATGGACAGTTGCCAACCTAATTTTTAAAAGCTGTAAAATTCTTACTCTCTCATCCCTATACCATATATTTGAATTATCACTTTTCGTACAGCATCATCCTGAATGATTTCATCACGTCTATAATTACTCTCATAATGGTATGGTACTTCAAGGCCAATCTACTGTATTAGATCTGGGACTCCTACATGACT